CAAGAACGGAAGCGATGCCCAACGACCGGCACGCAAGGCCAAACGGTTTTGCTTGACGCCAAGCCATGTGGACATTTCCTCAAAACGTCTCAAAACCACACAGCCCTCGGATGCACAGTTGCAAGTACAAAATGAAGCAGGTATGGTACAAGATCACCCCGTGACTCTTTTCAAGTTCATCATTCCCAAGTCCCCAAGCATTTGCATTGTATTCCCAGTTAGCCAAGCAATCCGAAAGCCCAAGTGGCTGAGCACATCTTCAACAAATGCGTCAGCTGAGCCCTGCGGACCAAGGACAGTGTTTTTGGGTGACCAATGGTCTTCGGTGGATTATCAGTGGGGCTGCAAAGGGTCCAAACGAACTTGGGACCGATTTTTGTGCTCTGAGATTTGATCACGACACACAGTAGGAACGTTTCTTTTCTCTGAACACACGTTTGGTTCATTCCCTCCCTCTTCAGCACGCCAAAAAAGTATCATTGACCTCTACAGTTTTGGACGTCCGCCAAAAAGGCCCTCTGTTGCAAACTTCTTCGTAGTCTGCCCCGAGACAGTTTAGTGAAAGACTCTGAGGAGCGGCGAAGAAAGAGCGAGGCACCGGCATCGATCAGGGTGCTGATGCTTGTCAACCAGAGCCAAACATGAAAAGGAAAGTGAATGAGAGTGGTGGTGATGAATGGAAAGAACACTGACATGCTTGGTGGACATATCTGAAAGAGAACGTATATATATATATATACACAAATAGATGATGCAATTCACACACTTGATCATGCCAACAGACCTTTTGAAAATGATTTGAATTGGTGTGAGAAGCGGATGGGGAGTAGATGAAATATGGTCACTGTCTTGTGCTACTGGAACCCTTGAAACAAAGCTGAAGCACTTTGACAAGACTAAGCTACATCTCAAAAATATATAGGGCCCATCTCAAAATCACCAACTTATGATTGAGAAAGGTCCCGTGTCTGAAAAAAAACGAAGAAGCCGGATGACGACCAACTTGAGTCACAGGTGAGAGCAACTTGAGTCATCGTGAGAGACTCCCGTGGAGGATGGCCGTCTCTCGATGTTTGCAGCAGGCCCGGGCCTCAACACCTTCTCTGTGGCCGCTGTGCCATGCAAACAAAGAACGCCTCGGGTGCAGGTGCTGCGGTCGATGCGGTCGATGCGGATGTTGGCTGCCACAAACACGATGTCCTGATCACCAAGCGAGGAGGTTTCACTTGATATACGAGCTCTTCAAACTCACGAACTCTTGGTTAGAAGCAACAGCTGTTGGATATAGGCAGCTGTTGGAAGGTTTCACTTCGTATCCTCATGAGCTCTTGGTCTTTAGGAAGTCATTGATTTATTTGTGAAACTGATAAAAACAATGTAAAACCCAATCTTCGCAACCCATCATCATAAGTCTTCAACATCACCCTTAGGATCCTTTAGCACATGAATTAAGAACTGACCAACTAAGAGTCCATGAGGCTCCAGAAAAGGACCCAACCCGAGCTTCTCGAATTCAACACCCCGGGTCAGGTCACCCGGGTCCGACCGCTCCGCCATCTCTGCGCCACTTGCTGTCCTTGCGCCGCCTTTTGCGCCCAAACCGAGGGGCGGATCTTCCGGCTGCTCTCCACCAGCGGCTTCGGCGCGCCGTAGACCTTGGCCTCGCGGCCCTTCAGCGCCTCCTTTGGGCGAAGAAACGATCAGGTCTGGAGGTGCCAGTGGTCTGCCGGGTGTGTTTGTTATTCTGAAAAAGCACGGATGGTCTGAGCTGTGGTGGTTGGAGTCCACCCCAATCTTTGGTGCTCCAGGTTTTGCATAGTTTTGCCGGCTTTGACACAAAAGGAGATAGATATTCTGTGAACCAGAGCCACTAGAATTTCACCAAGAACACCTCCCTACTGCACACGGGATCCTTACTTTGAAGACCCCCCCCCGGCGGTCCTTGGGCTCCAAGATGGGTGCCGGCCTGGGAGAACAAACGCCGGGTCGCCGACTGAAACGACCCACGGTGTGAAACCGCCGGATCCATTTGCTTCGACAAGTCTTCAGGCAGTCTTTCCAGTGCCTGTGCATGACCTCAGGCTTTCCACGTGAAACCAATGAAACCGAGTCTCTTCGTCCCTCGGTTTCAACCCTCCGACCTTGAACAGCAGGTCTTCAACCCCAAAAGCAGCCTTCCTCTGTCCTTAACAGGGTGACATTTGGGAACTAAGGCTTGCTGAACTAGTGAAGATGGTCCAACCATTCAGGATGCTTTTTGGGGTCGGATGCCTAAAACCCGATGACTTGGCGAAGGGAGGAACAGCCTCCCTCCAAAAGCAGTTTGTAAAGTTCGTCACCTCGAGGCCTAGGTGGCTTGAGTATGCTTTCGAAAAAGTGGGAGGGGCCCGGGAGGGGCGACATTGTTCGCTCCTTAGGGGAGAGTTCTCAACCTACTCACTACGTCCTTCCCTGTTCGCAAGAAAAAAAAGAACCACCCCGGGGTCGGCAGCAGTCCAAGGAGCTCCATCAGCACCTTGTCTTTCAATTTGATGGAGACCTAGTGCCGAGTCCCCCGAGCATCGTCGGGGCTAGGACTCGGAAGGTCCAACCGCGCGCGACGGCGACCGGACGAGGGGAGAGCGAGAACGCTGACCCAACAGGGACCCTTTCGAAGAGAAGCGGAGCCAAAGCGTTTTTGCTTTGCATGGCGCGATGGTTTCTGGGGGAAACAACTGGTATTTACAACTATACCTTTGGAAACCCAATTTGCAGGGAGAGTGAGCATATTTTTTGGGGGTTCCAAACCGCACTTGCCATAGACATTTCAGTTGAATATCTGGAAAACCTATGTTTCCCTACCCAAACAAGTCTTTCGTTCATTCATTTTCAGCAACTCCACCACCCTAGGTCTATGGTTTGCTACCACTTCTCTTCCAACCAAACTCCAAGGTCTGTCACCAAACAGGTCGAGCCTGCGTTCCTTCCTCTCTCTCGCCTACTTCAACACGCCCAGTGGCTTTTCCTGCAGCCCAGTGGCCCAGCCAGTTTCAGGCCCCTCGCCCGACAGCAGTTGGAAGCACAGTCGCTCCCCGGCCAGCTCCACCTGTCCGACACGTTCAGCGATCTTCGTCCAAAAGCGTGAGGAATTCGACGCAATGTCAGGAGCCCTAAAGCCAAAGTGGCATAAGCTTCATCTGAACAATAGCAGCAATAGATGGCATAGCACCCAAATCTCACAAGCCAAGGCTCAATCGGCCCAAAGCCAAGCAAGAAACAAAGCAAGGAAGTTCTTGTAGCCCCTTGTAAGCGCTCTTAGTAATCTGATTCGTCGAATTGAACCACCTCATCTCACTCTCAGTTCTTGGCAACAACTGCTCTGCACTGCTCCGCAGGGCCTCTCGCACCAATGCTCCCCTGCCCAAACGCTTGTCTGCCTGCCATGGATCAGCGGCACCAGCTGTGCTCGATCGGGCTGTGGAGGCTGAACATCAAATCGATTCAGCGAGCTTTCAAACATGTTTTTGCCAAACTGTTGTCCGTGGTGAAGCATGCCTTTTTGAAAACCAGAAGTGAAAGTGTGTCCGAATTTTGCTCCAAACTCCAAACAACCACATGGCAAACAGACCCACTCCTCCCGTCATACCCATGCAACAGTCCCACCTCGGGAGAGCTTAGTGCTTGCCCTTGACGCACCAAAATGCCGCCCTTGTCTGCACCTCGCACGCGCCGTTTTTGGAAGTGGTCGCAATGCTCACCACGGTGGCGAGGTGGTGGATCCTGAAGCATTCCTTGCCACAGGCATGGGGTTGACGTTAGGCCCATCATCTCAACATCTTCGTTGGCCTTTGTCCCTTTCCTCTCGCACCAAGACCCGGAAACCCCTGCCTTGCCCCCAAGACCGACCACCCGACCTCATCACCCGACCACCTCGCCCGATCGCCCGACGATCGCTTTCCACGCCTCCCACGACGCACCATCGCTTCTCGGCTTCCATGAGGAGTATTGCTTCCGCGGGCGCGACGCTACAGAAGCTACCCATGCGACGAGGCGCCCAGAACAATGAGGCGGGAGGGACAAGACGTGTCCCAAAAGGTTTGGGGGTCTAAAATATTTAAGGATTAGGGATGGCCGATGTCCAAGCGGTTTTCCAAGATTGATTTTGCCCTCTTCTTGGCACATTCTTTCTGAAGATTTGTGAGCTTCAGAATAAAAGATCTTAAACTCCAACGTGGTTCATGGAGACGTGGCAACATCAGCCGGTGGTCCTTGAGCCTTAAGCTGTCCAGCGGTGGAAGTGAAGAAGAGACCTGTCTGACTACAGCCGGTGGATCCCAAGAGATTCATCCTGCCCGGAAGGGAGACACTTCATTGGGGACCATCATGGAAGTGGAAAAAAACACACACCCACCCACTTCTTTTAGAGGAAAGATAGACACCCAAGGGGCCATGCCATTGTTCTTTCCATCCACTTCCACTTCAGATCTTAGGGAGTGAAGCACTTCACGGACACTTCCGAACCCATTTCCCTGGAAAGCGACCCCCCCCGTGAGACGATCGGTCCGATCGACCCCCCGACCAGCGTTGCAGGCGGAGTTCTCGGAGGTTTATGGACAAACAGGGCCAGGCAGGGCATTGCTGTTCTGTTGAAGAGTGAACTGATTTTGAGGCACTCTATAGATCTTATTGATCCAACACATATAATACAAAGCTCATCTCATCAACACGACGGTTCGACCAACACGTGACTTGGTTCAACGAAGCATCCGTGAAAAAAAAACATCTAAATGTTAGACCTCCACCCCGAAGACCCCCCGACGAACGAAGGAAGGACATGGACCGTTTGGGACCACGGCCAGCTTTATCTTGTGAGGACTTTTACGAAACCCTACGATTGCACATAGATATCATTCATGTGTCTTGAGGACCTTGAGGGTTGCTTTTTCCATCGCAAACAGAAGGACTCGTTGTTCCATGTGAGACTCGCGAGCCACTTCCCTCCCCGGTGCTGGCGCTGGCGCCTTCAGGCTGTTGAAGCCTCGGGACTCGCAAAAAACCCCGGTAGATCGGACGATGGAGGCGGCGGGAGCAGCGGACTTTCGATGACCATCCCGGATGCAAAGGCCAGATCTGCTGAGTGTGTTACTCTCTTTTGGATATGCAACTGATGCAACTGATGCAACTACCCACCGGAAATCTTCAGAGTCTTTACCGTGCATGCCTTCGGAGTCAGAGCTGTGGCGGAGTCCGAAACGAGAGGCTGCGGGACCCCGACGCGCTGTGATGCACATAGACGTCCCCAGAGAGGCCTGGCGATGGCGATGGGTTTGGGTGCAAGTCTTGGCCACCTCCGCTGGTTTCTGAGAAAATCATTGACGTACTGTGGAAGGACACGAAATCCAACAGCCAATCAATACTGACAGAAGATGTCTGCATCTGATCCAAACACCTGGAGCCCCGGGCAAGGAAAAGAAGGCTCTGGGTAAATACGTAGTCTGGAGTTGTCCATCTGTCCATCTGGATTTCCGGGGGGGAGTGTCACTTTCCTCCACCCTAATAACCCAAAAGTAACACCACTCCGATCACTTACCCGGCCTACAAAAAAGTAAACCTACCAAGAGAGAGAACACCCCTAGCGGCTTAGCCAACACTGCTTAGAGTGGGGGATAAAACACGGAAGCCACGCACATCCTCTCAGCCCATGCCGCTTCGAGGTCTGCCGATCTTCCCTTCGCTGCCCATCCCGAGCTTCGGCGCTCCGGTCACGCCCAACGGCCTGCCTTGTTGGCCATCGGGGTCGATGAAGCCAAAGCCCTTCGGGGAAAACCAGCGGATTCCTGGGTGGAACGGAAGTGGATTTGTCAGAAAGCGCTATGAACCAGCAAAGGTTTAGGTTGTTAGGGAGCTAATTAGATCCTAACAGCTGCTAATCATTCAGGTTCAGAGGTCTCCTACGATGATGATCCCTCCTTTGCAAGGCTTAGAGTATCATCCTTTCAAGTGTCAACCGTAAGACCCTGCTTTCTTTCATGATCGTTGTCGAGATCCCATATACTATACTTCAAAATACAGCAGCAAGAAGGATAGAATTCCTATGGAGAGACTTGTCTTGTGACTCAACCTGCTCCTACCCCATTCAACACACCAGAACACAACACACCAGAACACACCTCCCATTTGTGCTGTAGATTATGAGCTCAAAGCACACCATTCGGCAGATCCATCGCTCCCTCTTCCAGCTCCTGTATCAGAAGTGGAAATTGGTAAACTCAACTGCTGCAGTTTTGAGCCACCAACAAACATCTCCATTTGCTGACTGGTGCGACTCGTAGGGAATGATTTCAAAGGAGATTCATTTTGGATCCAGCCACCCTCATTCCCTACGAGTCGCACCAGTCAGTCTCCATTTGGGTCAATACCGGGACACCCTGGCAGACCCCTTGGAGGTCAACCTGGTGAAACGGTCTCCGGGTTCTTCACTCAGGCGCCGTTCGGGGGCTCTGACATCCAATCTGCCACCTCATCCGTTTCCTTCTAAGCCACGCCCAGTCAAGCGCTTCGGCGGCGCGAGGCGCGAGAGGTCTGCAGGGTTCGCGTGGTGCGCGACGCATGGTTGGTCTCCCTGCCGTCTGTGTCCAACATGAGAATCCCCTCCAACGTGGGAACGTGCAAACACATTTGTCAATTGGACCAGGAAACCCTTCATCTCCAGGCCGTTTTCACCTCTGCATGACTCTAAGGTGGGGCTGTCTGGGATTCTTCCTTGCCCTGTAGACTCAAGGAGAGCTCCAACGCCCGTGTTGCAATGACCAACAGAAGATCCAAGGGCCCTTTTGCTTTTTGGCAACAACTCCGCGTTCTTGCGTGGGCTGCCTGAACAATAGCGGGGTCTATAAGGGCTAGGTCGGGTGCATTCTGGGGGGATTGGAATTCGCCATCTGAACTGAATGACACACAAGTAGAACCAGTCACCTGGACTGGCTGAGCAAAAGGAAGGGGCAAATAAAGAGAATGGTCATGATCATTTTGGACAGAACTTGACAGAACATGCTACCTCATGGGCTTTGAAGACCCGCAACGGCTGGACCACCCTCCTCAACTCTGTCACCATTCCCAGCCAACGGCCTCCATCCGCTTGCAGAGCTCCCTCGGCTTTTTCTTCGGCGAGTCGATAAGACGAAGAGTAGCGATAAGACGAAGGAGATAGAAAACAACTCATCGGCCGCAAAACAGGAAACCTTTGAGTTTTAGACTCCCTGTAACTATCATGGGAAGTGGAACATAGGCCCCTGGAAGACCATTTTCCTCTGCTAGGGCGGGGGGTGCTAGTTAGCTTCCATGGTTAGAGGGAGGGTACTGATCAAGCTGTGAAATTTGGCCCATGAAACCGGCATTGCCACTTGTTCCAACGCGGTTCATGAAACCTCTCCACACTGGGTGTGTGAGGTCATTTTTACGGAACATCATGCCATGGAGGGACGGGAAGACTGCCCCATTTGGCAACCACCATCCATCGCTTCTGCCCCACTTTCGACCCGTTTCGGAATGAGCTTCGACCAGTGGCGACTCGGCCGTGAAACACAGGTCGTCTGCCCGAGGAAAGAGGTCAGTTCGCAAGCAGCAGCCCTATGATGAGTTGGGATCCTTCTGGGAGGAAGAGACAGGAAAGGAAGAAGGACAGAAAACGGAACAACATGTCTAACATGAAATCATTCCAGATTTTCCAAACATGTCTTGAAGCACTTCGACTGTTCTAGGGGGTAGAACAACACATCTCAAAACAAAACCGACTTCTTGGAAACATTCTCTTGAATGTTTTCAACCCCCTTCCCGCTCGCCCCGACTCACCGCGCGAAGCCGACGCTTCGTCTCACGCCGACGGCACGTGGGAGTCGCCCAGGAAGAGCTTCCCCGAGGCGCTATGGAAATAGACGCCCTGGAGTGCTTGGTTCAGTTCAGGCCGTCCAGGTCTGTCCGGTTCCCTTTGTATAGGAGAACGTAGGATCTGGAATCACCACACCATGACTTTCTGTTAGATTTCATGGTGGTGAGGGAGAGAGGGTAGGTAGTAGGTTTCCACCTTTTTCACAGGATCAGAGATTCTCTACAGCATTGCTGGAGAAAATGCAAGCTGCGCCATCTGGTCAACCGTTGGTGCCATGTCATGCCCGATCCAGTGTCCAAAATCGAGTGCTCGAACAATCTAGAACATGTTCACGAACCATGCGGTTTCAACAGTGTAAGTGAGCTGCACTCTCTGTGAGTTGGCTCCAAATTTGGATGCACCCCTGACACCCTCAGTTTCCACAAGCCCATTGGCTCCATATGGGCCCACAGGACTTTTGCACCGCTTGGAAACGGGGGAGCCGGACCGACCACCCACTCCCACTCCCCGCTCGGTGCCTCGGCTTGGTTGAAGAGCCAACCACTGTCGTGGCCCCACCTGGAGCTGCGAGCGAGAGCGAACGACGGCGAACGACGCGTGAGGGCTGCGATCCTCGTTGCATCGCCTGGTTTCTGGCAGGGATGGTTTCGGGTCGCGCGGCTTGTGCTTGGAAACAACACCGAAAGTGTCTCAACTGGTGGATCAAAGCAATGGCCATATAGGTGATGACCCAGTCATCCTTATAAACTTCTCACTCATGGTCATGATTTATATGCACAAACCGATCCACTAACCTACGTTATAAGTTATCCTTAGTCATGACCAAGACGGTATACCTTAGCACTCATCACTAACCGATCCACTGGTCGAAATCTCAACCTCTCCACGTCCACTGGTGCATTTCGCTTGTTTAGACCACCACCCCATGCACCACAATACCAAAACAACAATACGTACCACCATTTTGCTTTGAGACCTGCTTAGGCTCCCGTCCATTCCACAGTTCCACAGTTCCACACACACATGGACTTCAAAACTTTGGAAGAACTCCCTCCCGCTCCAGCGACTCGACGCCTCAACTAGAGAGACCCCTTCTCGCTCCAACGCACATTCGACTTGCCGCGCCACCGAGAGACCCCATTGACCGGACACCTTTTGGCGCGAGCAAACCATTGACTGCACTGCGAACAGAGATGGTGCAAGGAGACCAGGCTCCCGATCTTCCCCAGTTTCCCATCTTGGACGGTGTTTCAGCTGGCGTTGGTGGACCCCGGCCCCACTTTTGGAGACAATGCAGTCTGGATTTCGGCACGTGAGCACAGTTCCATGCAGAACAAACAAACAACACCGACTCATCGTGAATCGACGGGGTAGTGCGGGGTCCCGAGCTTAAATGGGGTTATCAATAAAACATGAACACAATGGAATGGGGTTTTGTTGATAAAATATGTCTAGATCTGTGCAAAGAATGGAAGATGTCCTTTCCGTCGGACCAACACCATTCCGTCGGGAAAGCACCGGACACAGCCCCGTCTGTTGGCGAGACTTTCCAACATAAATACCATGTGAGGGGTATAAACAGCCGTGGTGTTGGGGGCCGGGCAACTTCTATTTTTCTCCAATAAAGATTTCCAACAGCTGCCTTCATGGGCGACTACTCACAGGTTTCACAAGTGTTGATGAGGAACCATTGACCCGACCACGTGAATACCGTACATCTGATGGGGTAGGTGTTTCAACGGATCAGGAAGTGCTCGTTGCCCTTGACCGTAAATCTCTGCCGCTAAGCTTTCGTCGGATCCTCGCATTTGCGACGCTTCCTTTCGCTGCAGATTTGGAATCGGTCAGGTGCTCGGACGTTCAAGAGCCAACAATTCACAAGGCACACCCGAAACAAGCCAAACAACTTGCTTCATTGGTGTTTTCGGACTCTGAGTTATGAGTGAACCGCCACCACGACCACTTGAAAGAAAAGTCACAAGAACGTCCAAGGAGGACCACACCGCAGCCTTCTTCAGGTCTTGTGGGTGGGGGGTCGCCAGCACCCCAGGACCCGTCGGAGCATGAGTCCGCTGCGTCGGACTCATTGGGGCATCGGGCTGAGCTGTTTGATGCTTCCCTCCCAACCGATTCTCAGGTCATCCAAGGAGTCATGCGTTGGGTCAGAACACCAGGGGGCCACGCTTGAGGTCACCTACCCATTCCGGGTCACTCAGACACATGCCATGTGGGTGTTGAGAACAGTATTGCAGAAGGAAGTCTTGAGAACAGTATTGAGAACAGCCTTCTGAGTCAAGTATTTTGCGTGTCAGCGCACTTTTTTCTTGAATCATTGAGGTTGCCCTATGGCTTTGGCAAGGAAGCACAGCCTTACTTCACGACTATCAGCTATAACGCTTGCTGAAAGCGAACCCTTTGACCAATGACCAAGACTCAGTAAGACAAAACATTAGCCATTGGACCACTAAGCTATCGGCATTCGTCATCGGTCAAAGGGTTCACAGTCTTGCTGCCTCTGACCAATGACCGACATTTTAGAGCGCCAAGTCAACTTGTATGGAAAAGAATGATTTACCAACCTGTGGATGGACACCGTGTTGAAGCCCAAAGCCCTATGAATCGCACTTGAGATGCGATGTTTGTCGCATCGAGAGATCTTCTCCAGGTCGCAGGACGACAGAAGCAGTCATTGAGCAAAGGAAAAGCTGCATCGATGTGGAAAACGCATGGTAGTAAACCAAAACACCAAAACCCCTTTTTCAAAACCCTTTGTGGATTGCACTGTCACCTACAGCAAGGGGTTGAGCAGAAAGTTCGAGGCGAGACACTAGGAGACACATGTGAGCACATGTGAGCACACGTGAACAAAGAACCAAAGAACCAAAGAACCAATCTGGGTGTTTGTGACCCATCTCTGTTCTTTTCTGGCAACCAGAAACCCAGAAACCCAGCTTTGGCTCAGTTGGACCCTGTGAACTGGGATCTTCCACTCAACGGTTTTTCTTTCGGAGTCCCCCGTTGAGTGGAACCATTCGCCTGAAACTGGGACACCCATTGGAAGCGAGCCATCAACATGCCGCTGGGTTCTCTACTTGGACTCTGAGTTGCTACTGGTTGAGGGAATTTAACTAACTACCAAGAAAGGGACTCAGTCAACTCTTCCCCTCCGATGTACACGTTCATTCGAAACGTTCAGCACATCATAACAACATCTCTCTTGGCCTGAATGAAAGTTTGGCGAATCCTGCTGGACCTGTCTCTTAGGGTGCAGTTCTTTCCTGTGCTCAGGGCTTCCAAATCCCTCCCTAAAAAGGGCAACACCCCATTTTCGTTTCGTGACCCCTGGAAGGGTGACTCTCCTCCAAATGACCCCAGAATGTGAACCCAGAATCGATGGCAAAGCGACTCTTTCACGTGGAACTTGAGCTCTTCGAGTGTTGGCTGGTCCTCGCTCTTCCAGGCTGAGATCTCGCGGAGGTGGGGCGCGTCTTCCAGAGCGGAGGTTGGTGGGAGCCGCTGAAGGCCAAAGGTTATTGATTGGAAGATGCTAAAGGTCCAAAACACTCCGCACAACCTGGGCTTCCACCAAACTCCAGCTACGGCAGGGTGGTCCCCAAGTCAAAAGCAACCAGGGTATGCAAAGAAAGAAAACACCTGCGGAGCTTTACAGCCCAAAAGCCAATGCACACGAGCGACGGGGTCAGGCCATGCTGTAGCGCATCTGCCGTGGCATCGGCGCATTCAGTTGCGCCTCGTAGCCACCGTAGCTGTAGGTGACCGACCTGACGCGTTGGGCAGGCTGCCTCAGATGGTGAATGACCAACTATCGGCTTTTGCGTCTCATCAGTCTAATCCCTGGAATTCTGATGGTGGCTGATCACAGGAATGCCGCCCTCCTGGAAATAGGATCGCCCGCCTGGAACCATCGGACCCCGCAATCCACAATCCACCACGCCCAGGTGGATTGGCCAATCCGAGTTGTCACCCGTGCCAGGGAAACTTGAAGGTGCTTCTGCTTCTTCTTAAAAACATCGTGATGCCTTTTGCTTTTCTTTTGGACGAGACGTCTGGGTTCATGTCAAGCAATTCTCCTGTGAGATTTCACACAAAGAGGTGAAGCATGGTGAAATCTCTCACTGACGTCATCACCTCCTCCACCAAAACCAACAAACCACACCTCCCTCGAACGGTCGGCCGCTCCCCCCTTTTCAACCCAACGGACCCAACTGGGACGAAACCCCCCCGCGCGGCGCGTCGGAGCGTCTCTCTCTCACCTGGCCTGCTCCGAGGTCCGTTCTCCGGGGACACCTCGAGAAGCCACGGCCACCGGAGCACACTGGGCGCCGCGGGCCGTGAGAGCTTCCTGGGGCGGGCGGAGGGCGCGGAGGGCCCCCGATGCCAAAAGGGGGACGACGTTCCAGTGGGGAAGTAGAGTCTGAGGACTTCGGTTCATGTTTCCTTTTATCCGGCAGGTGTGACGCTGCGTCGTCTTGAGTGGAGGTTCCTTTCACTTTGTGGTATGATGTAGAATTGAACAGCTTTGGTCTGTCTATGTGGAGATGGTTTTGACTTTAACGGTCTCACCTGGGATTCCGCATTTCCAGCCAAGAGTTCTGAGAGGGCATACGAGTTGGGGTCCACCAACACTGCTGAGAGAACTTCACTGAAACACGTGGATTGACCTACTTGGTACCATTGTGGAAGAAAGGCACTGGGTGCCCACAACTGCCAGCCAAACAAGATGGAGCAGATTTTCCTTCTTCTTCAATTAGAGGCATCGTCTTGGGGCCTCGGCCTCCAGTGAGGCGTCTTGGGCGCGCCACAACTCAGCATCACCGAAAAGAAAAGCAGAACACGGCAAAAACAACGAGCATCATGGCAAGGGCGCAGGGATTGATCCCGTGTTTTCTTTCGATTCAGCCTCCCCTTTCGGTTGGCCCTTGCTCAAGCCAACGTGACGTCGAGGAGCTGAACGGTGAGACACCGCCGGAGGGTCTCCTGTAGCGGTGAAGGGCGGCGCCATGAGACAAAACTTGCCAAAAAGCATGTCTGTTAAGACAAGGAAGCTACTAGGAACAAGTGCATCGCTACGTTCGTAACAGGTGCCTTACTAGTAGTAACAATGTTTGCGAACTTAGAAACAATAGAAGTTTTGTCTCATGGAAACTTGTCTGAACTCTCAGGAAGTTTGCTTTTTTCTTTCACATGCTTCTGTCTTGTAGTTTCATGGTTCCGCTGGCGGTGTTCCCTCGGGCGAAAGCGTTCACCTGTTCCACCCCAGGGGCCATGGCTATGCCAAATTGAACCACCAACGGACGCAATGACTGCGGTCACCCACACCCAAACATCACGGAAAAACATCTTGAACTCTCACCCAAAGCCATAGTCACCACCACACAAACACACAACCTATCACCAACGGCCACCAAAACTACAAGAAAACACCCTCATCCCAAACCACAAGAGCTGACAGCTGACAGTGACTCACAGCTCACACCCTCAGCTCAACGTCTCTCTCCTTGCAGGGCTCGGAGATCTCCAGCCTCGCCCAGCGCGCCCAGTCGACAGGCCCTGTGGGCCCCACCACCGCGCAGCGGAAGGCCTCGACGCTGCGATAGGCGTGGAGCCGCCGGGGCAGGGAGCCCATGAGCATCACGTGCAGACCTGGGGGAGCGGCGGAGCGCAGGCCACTGGCGAGGATGTAATTCTGTGTGTTTTGACGGAAAGGAGAGGTGTTTTTGGATGTGGAGGTAATAGATAATTGGGTTGGGAGTTGGGAAGGCGAGATGTTTTAAGATTTAAACATCCGTGGCTTTTTGAAAGATCTCGTTGTACCATCACAGGGCTGGCGGTGCTTTTTCCGTTCAAGCAATGAATCCCTGAACCGTGTTTGTGGAGTCGTGTTGCTGTTGGCGCACAACAAGGGGATGGAGTCCTCTGATCTCGGCCCCTGATCTGTGAGCAACCGACCTAGTAGGAAGTGTGGCTGGTGAGAGTACCTTCCTGGAATCCACATACCAGCTGGTATTAGTGCTTCTGGGATTCATTCAACCTTTCCATACCAGCTGAAGCACATCCTGCACAATCTTTTATTCTTCCATGAAAATTGAAAGCGCTCCGCCACTTCATGAATTTCTTGAAGCACAATGCCCCACTTGCCAAGAAGCACAAGCCGCAACTCCACACATCCTGCGCGCAGAGCAAACAATAGCAAACATGCTGGAAACTATGAGTGGTAGTCATCGGCAAAAGATGTAAAGTGAGTAGGTCTATATGGAATCTTATATGGCATCTTTTATGCACGTAGTCACCTCTGTGGCCGTTGATCACCAAAAAACCCAACTCGTGTGGCATGGGACATCTCCAGCCATGCTGTTCAAAGATGGATGTCTTAGGCCTCGAATTCTCCGTGGAGGAAGTTCTGCATCACTATGAAATCCAAACACATGTTGTTAGGTGGGACTAGCAGGTGAGCTACAAAAAGCCGTGAAGACCCTGACGGAGGCAGAGGAACATCATCTTCCAACTCCCTTTGGCAGGCCATCCATATCACACATCTTACTCTGCTTGACCAGCAAGAGGACCATCGTTTTTAAAAGAACTCTTGCACTCACCCGCGCTCACCACGCTTTCCTCAGAATCTTTCTCTAGTCACTAGTCTCCAGTCTCTCCTGCTGTTCCGAGGGGGATTCTCCATCCAGCACTTCGGGCGCAGCATATTCCAGGGTCCCTGTCATCGTATAGGATCCACCATCCTGGGCTTCGCTCCGCGTGGCAAGCCGCATGAGGAACTGCTTTCTTTTCACGTGGCGGGAGCTGAGGTGGGGACGGGAGTGAAACAACATCTTGCTTGCTGTGAAAATACGCTCATGCCTTGGCTTTGACCCCAAGCCTGCCACACCCCCGAACCACAACGACCACAACGAACCACCAAAAACCCCGCTGGCTGGGTGTGCGACGACCTCCCCGAGACGAAGCGTCCATCAGCGCTTTGGCCGCGTTGAAGTCGGTCACGTGCAGCGTTTCCAGGTCCGGCGAGATCCTCGGGACGCGGACGGGGTCGAGACAGCTCCCACGGAGCTACACGGCGGAGAAAACGGCGGTGAAGATAGAGCTCCGGACCAGGAAACAACTGCCAACAGAATACTTCTGGGATGTTCTATCATTGTCCTTCCAACAGAATCCTAACCTCATATTGAACGTGTGTGAAAGTGACATGAGATATCATGAGATACAGTTTTATCAAAACATCGGCCCTATTGTCCAAAAAGCCATAGATACTTAGACAGCTTCTTAGGGCCTTTGGAATTCCAACCAGTAGCATCAGCAGTCGCATGAGCTGGCTGTTGGAGTCATCTGCACCCATGAACTCTCCGACCTCTTTTGGGCACCGTTTCGAAACGAAGCTCCAACCTCACCCATCCCACCCGTCCCACAGGACCACTGTCGGTCTCGCCGTCTCAGCTCGAGGCTCAAAAGGTTCTCCGCTTTGATGTCCCGGTGAAGCACCCGCTTGGAGTGCCTTCATTGATCGGATCAACCCGGAAGGGAGGTCGAACAAACAAATAAAGACTCCGTCCGGGACCTCGGACATGGAGCGGACCGAGAGGTCCTTCACAGCATCTGAAAGAAAGACTCTATAAGTGGTTTTGGTGTCTTTTTCAGTCTGGGTCTGGACCCCATCGTGCAGTTCTCACTTCCAGCCAAACTGGGCATTCCAAAGAAAATTAGTCAACTGGCCAGAAAGTGTTTAGGGGATGACATTCCCAAAACATCTGGTAGAAGTCCACCTCACCTTACACCTCCTACAAAAACCAATCCATCACCTCACACCTGCCCGAAGGATTAACCTCTTCCTTTGCGGCGACTTCTGCCAGGCTTTCTGTTGGGAGCTGGTTGTTGCGGGATGGTGCCAGGGGTTGCGATGTACTTTTCAATTGATCGGTGGCGGAGGAGAAGTTTCTGTCTAACACTGCTTCCGCATCACTAGCAGTTCGCAGTTCGCTGGCCCGACAGAGCCTTTGTCTGGGCTTGGGACTTGTAGAGATGTGAAACTAAACAGTGGGGGACTCCAGGAGATCCCAGTCAACGGATTCGGCCGTTTTGCAAGGGGTCCAAAGAATCAGCGGAATTGTGCTTCAAAAAGACCGGCTTCAGCGGCGAACGGGCGATGCTGTTTCGGTGGTTTTTCCGACTTGAGTGGCTCTTCATCGGATTCACCACCCGCATCCAGTGGAGAATATAGCAAACCAACACGCCGCATCCGGCACGTCCACATGCGTGGCTGAAATCGGCTGGCGGCCAGGGGGCATGTATTCCACCGCCGTCATGAGCTGCCAGAAGAGTTTTTGACTCTTGGACTCCGCGAAGCACCCGTTCTCCTCGGGCACCACCGGAGCCGAGGAAAGCTCCGCGCAGACGGTTCCGACTCGGAAGATCCCCAGACTGTTGTTGTGCAATGTATACAGACTCAGGGTGATCGAGGGTAACCGTTGCTTTTGGGGATGGGGGAGACACACCTTTCTATGTATTCCTTTTGGTTGTTTCAAACACAACATGGTTCTTGGGGCAGACGACGTACATTTCTGTAGTGCAGCACTTTTGGGACTTTTGATAGAATGGGGGAGATGACCATTGGCGACACTTCACCCAAAAGAAGCACAAGAAACAAACCGGCACAAAACGGCGCGCAAAACTGCACCGAAACGGCGCAATTTGTTTGCAAACCTTTTTGTTGCACTACTGATGGTCCAAAGTGGCAGGCAAACCCATGAAGCAGCAGTTTTTCTAGGAAACGACTCAAACTACATCAAGAATCAAGCGGCAGAAATTAGTTGAGTTTCACAAAACAACAACAACAATTTTACATACCCAGGTGTCTTAGGTATGAACCTCCTGATCTATCTGAGAAATCTATGTGTCTGTGGGCACCCAGTTGGTACCATGAGGCGAGACTCAGGGCATGATCACCCAAGGAGGCTAGTTTTCGAGGTGCGCTCAGTACCTCCCAAATTGATGCAGATTTAAACATCCCCATCTTCAGCCAGATAAATCGCCCTCCAATCACCCATTGATGAAGCTTCGGCTTAACTGCCAATGGACCAGCCTTTAATGGAGGAAACCTTTTTCTCCAAAGGCATTCTTACTACTAGTAACAAGGACGCTACGCACGGTGGAGGCCATCGCTACTAGTAGCTTTCGGATGCTACTACTCCAGGCGCGGTGTTGCAACGCTCGAGCCGTCGAGCTCTTCCAAGGCTCTGAGCTCTTCACAGCGACGTCCAAGGTGTGACCCTCGTGGTAACCTCTGCCGGATGGGCGCTTGGTGCTCGTGGGGAAGGGAGAGTCCCTTCTTGGCGGTCGTGGGGAAGAGCTTCTGAAAGGAACAACTTGGAAAGGACAAATTCACTTTTTGTTTTTCCTTCAGTTTACCTCTTCTGGGCATCTTCCATCTTTCGTAGTCACCATTGAATCAATGGATCTTGGAAATGAAGCACCACCCTTGCAGCCTCCAACTGTTAAAGGACGAGTCCTTCGAACGAAGAGACCACCAGCTGCAGAAATAGCTACCCAAATGTCACCCATCCAGTCCAGAGATTCGAACCAAAAGAAGGAATATCCTCTGGAAGGCAAAAAAGAAATAACACCAAAACATTACTTTCCTCAGCCCGGTTTTGTTTTATCTTCTTTTTTGTCCCCATATCCACTGCTGTACCTGCACCCAGGTGACTCAAACCTCCACGCAACGTCGCTTTTCCTTCCTTTCCTTTCCTTCGTTTGGGCCCAAGAAGCTCATCACGACGATGGCCATCCGCCCGACGGACAGGAAATCCAAGGCTTGGACCTGACGACGCGGAGACAGGGCGAGCGGAGCAGACGGAGCAGACGGAGCAGACGGAGGTCGGGTCCTTCAGGTCCACTGACTTGTCTGGTGTTGGGGGGTGTTCTCTGACCTGGTCATGGTACGGTACTCCACTTAGCTGGTTGGATGGAAAAACAGAGATCCAAGAGGCGAGATCTGGGCATTTCCTTTGCGGAGGAGATGGCTGGATCCTTTGGCCTTGCCTTTCACCGGTTCCAAGATCATCTGGTGTGTGGAAGGATCAAACACCCAGATGTCAGTTGAGCAGGTTTCAAGCTGAACACAAGCACCTTACAACGCATTCCCAATTTGTGCACCCTACGGCACTTGCGCCCAGAACCACTTCAACATAGAATCAAGTTGATGCCTTTGGTGGGACTTCAGAACACATGACAGCAGTTTCAATGCATGTATGCGTTATTTGCATTTAGTCACCGAGTTTGCCGACAGTTTGAAGGCACAACAACATCAATCCTACTTGCAACGAACTGCAACTCAAAAGAACCCTTGTGCTTCTCACAACTGCGACTCCCAACTCTTCTCCAACGCCATTCCGGGTGAACGGTCTCCACTCCATGTCCAGGGCACGATGTGCGGATGTTGCAACCGCCGCAAGACTTCATATTCCTCAATGGCCAAAACCGGTTTGCACGGATTCCAGAGGTTCCACATGATGTCACAGCTTCCACATCTGGTTAAAGGTGGAAAGGGGTCAAGAAACGCCTGGTTTGCGTTGGAAACTGGTCGATCTGGTTTCGAGTTATACGAACTGGAAACTCCTGTTTTGCACCGAACATCGACTCTTTTTGGATTGTGAGCTCGCCTTATATCCTGCAACTTGGGGGGGTTCCAACGTGGATGGAGGTGCTGCTCAAAGGCTGTGTGCTGCGAGCGGGATTCTTCCGGTGATCGGACGACTATCTTCATTCGTTCTTGGCACCCCTCAAAACCGATTTGATGGATTTTGGACCAAAGGGTCGACAGGAACATAGCCAGGAATGCAATGGACCAATGGACCCAAGGTGGACTCCAAATGATCCAAACTCACGTTTTGGCGAAGCTCTTGCTTCCTGCACTGCAGCACTTCTTCATCCTTCGCCTCCAAACACTTCAACGCCACCTGACAGCACTGCGACAGCACAACCCACGGGCCAGAGCAAAACACAATCTGCACCCGACAAGTTCGCTTGTTGTTTTGAACCAGATTGTCTCCTTTTGATGATCAGTGGTGAGGAACTCAGATGAACTCACTAACTATAATGGCTGCATTGACTGCTACGCCACCTCGATTGGAACACCTTGGGCTCGTGTCAATCCACAATTGAGGCGGGTCACTCCATGTTCCACCCTCTGTTGGACCCCTGTGCACTTGGGACATTTGGGGTCATCTTTGGACACAGCCAACCAAAAAAACACACAAAACTCCCCCCCACAACCCTCCACTCCCCTCAAAACAGAAACCGACCACCCCCCCCCCAAAAAGGCCCACCAAACCAACCCTCACGTCACACCTACCGTACCGAGCGCCCGGCGCGCGGCCAACGGCGCCTGCTGTTGATCCAACTTCCGCAGGCCCCGGTGCACGCGCCCGGAGGAGCCCTCGCCGATCTGCTCCAGCAAGACATACCTTAACGGCCCACCGAGGCGGGTATGAGGCGGAAGAAAAGAGAGATGTGGTTGAAAAGGATGAAGATGAAGAGCTCAAAGAAGCTTTTGGAAGATGATTTGAGATCGGAGAGGCTTCTGGATTTGGATCACCTGATTGGAGAACCTCATGGCGAGCTCGAGGTTGATCATTCAAGGACCATGTAGCATATGAATGCATATGATTCATTGCTTTGAAATCAACTAATTCTGCAACAAATGAGCGGTGCACGCGCAACGCGTTTTTTTTGCACTCCATTACTCCACGCTAGAGTGGACCGCTGAGGCACAAAGGGCAAACTAACGGAAGATCAGTGGTGTGAAACAAACAATCTGAGGCTCCAAACTCGTTGACAATTCAAACCAAATTCGGATTTGTCTCTTTCGGATGGTGCGGATTCAGCACATATAAACACACAGCTCCAGCTCGGAACCTTGAACACGTGACGGAGTAGGGAGATGGGGCTCCTAATCAACGAATGCGGGGCGGACACAAAATGACGCAAGTGCCAATTACTCTCACGTCATCGGGCGTTAGCTGATCCCAAACCACAACACACACTCTTTGAGGCATCACTTTACAAGTTATCGCAAAACATGTGCTCGGCCACTGTAACCGGTAAGCCTTGCCCTAGAAGAAGCAGCAATCTTTCTGTCATCCAGTGTCGTCTGGTGTGCAATCACTGGGTGCGAGTGTCGCCAAAATCTGCCAATGTGAAGAACAACCAAGGTCTGGTTCGCAATTCGTGAGGCGAGCTTCGCTCAAAGAATAAGTTCATCTGCTTGCTAAATTCATATACTGAACTTGCTATTCGCCACAAAAACTATTGAATTGACTTGACAACCGACAAAGAGGCGAGGTTTTCTGAAGTGGAGAGCTTGGTTCCTGCAGCTCAAACGCTTCTAACATCACACCTGGCAGATTTCAGCGTTCATGCAAACAGACCGCGATTGCCTCTGCAATCTCAACTTCAGACTTGCCCATGCATTCGAGGCGAAGTCGATCTGGGCTAAAAACCCAATCCACAAAGCTCTGAGCATCCATGTGCTCATCGCGATGATCGGGCGATTGCGGCCCTCTACAAGGAGGACGTGGAGGATAGATCGCTGCCACCTTCAGCGGAACGATCTTGATAAACTCAGCATAGGTCTTGGCAAACTTCAGCTCCTCAAAGCTGGAGTATTGCGACGCCGTCATCTCGGCGTAGTGCTCGGTACACACGCAAAGCATGACGCCCCGTTCCCGCTTTAAGCGGCCCAGGTATCTGGTGGTCTCAATGCCAAAGCTCTGACCCTCTTTCACCGACACCATCAGAACCTCGTAGCCATTCCCAACCAAGATCTGGTGGATGGCGCGAAACTGCTTTTCAGTTTCGCCGCCATCAAATCTAGCGGAAAACATGCCTATCCGCGCGCCATCGGCTGATCTCCTCAGTCGCGGCACCTCACACAGATGTCAGAAACTGCACGAACGGCCGTGCTTTTGGGGCAAAGTGCTCAAACGAGAACTTTGCAGACTTGCGAATCATCACATTCTTCGAGATGACCCTTTTGACCTTGCTGATTCTGTGATAACTAATCAATTCTTTTTCCAGATCCGCAATCCGCAGATCCGAACACTTAGAACCTCTTGATCTGCGCTTCCGGCCTGTGCGCTTGAAGGCAAAGGCACTGGGCTTCCGATGGGAACAACAGCCGGGGCCGCGCCTCAACGCTTGGCAAAGAAGCTGGTTGGAACCAAAACTGTGGGCCTCCTGGGTTGGGTCTATCCTATCACCAGGTTTCAGTGGATGATGATGGTTAGGTTTGCAGGCCTTGTGCAAAAATAGTGATGTTCTTCTCTACAGGTCCTGTTACAGGTCTACTGGGACAAACCCAAGCTATGGAAGTTGTGAAAAAGCAGCTCCACTGAAACATTTTTCAGGCTCTCTTATACACTTGGCTCATTTCCCCGATTCATGTTTTTCAACATGTTGCATCTCTTCCTGTGCACTTTCTCCCATGAAAAGATTCCGCGCTCTTTTCCAGATGGGAAGATGTTGAAGATGACACATCCTCTCTTGATCGTCGCAGAGCAGAAGAGGGGGGGAGCTTGGTGTTAGGCGTCGCACGCACGCCCGGTGCCGCACGGTGCCACGTGTACTTGGGCGTCGGACGGTTCCTTTGGCCAAAGAAGAGCCGCCCAACCTCGGCTCGAACCGGGATGAGCCGGAGGAATCCAAGCGGGATGAGGGTTGATCTGCAAGGCCCCAAGTTAGACTGATGTCAAACGTTAGATGGTGCAGCTCCTTCTTGCAGGCAAACACATCAAGCACCACTCCTTCCCTGGCCCTTTGGGCAAAAAAACAAGTGCAATTTTTTTGAAGGATCCATTTTTACTCATGGTTTGGGTTCAGGTAGGCATGGAGTGGGATGGAACCTGCACCTGTATGACACACAGGACCAAATCTGATTCCATGCCAGGTCACACGGGGTCTTGAGCTGCTCACAACCTGCGAAGTCTAGTGCCATGACTGGTGTCATTGAACAAAGTGAAGCCACACACCCAAGCTCTCTATGATTGAAAGCATTGAAACAATCAGATTAACATTACACAAACACAGCTTGGCTGCAGTTTTGATTGTTTAAGCAAACGAGAAAAAACTCAAAACCGATTGCATCTCTGCCTGGGTTTGAGAATCGTTTGGGGATCTGGAGCGGTCTTCGATCATGAGGCGAGTAGCTGGAGGCACATCCGGTGGCACTGGTGCGGCTGAGCTGTCCGGAGCGGGTGGATAAGGGCCAGCTGGGGGAGCTGCTGTGCTGGGAGTCACAGCAAGTGATGATGGTGCAGAAGCGGCCACTGGGCAGGTAGCACTGCTTGCACCGGACAAAGATGGGATTGGGATGTCAAGAAGTGCTGGTGCTGTGTCGGCAGCGGGTGGCAGTGTTGTTGACAGGGTGCCAGTGTGTGGCTGTGCTGATGATGTAAGCGGTGGGGCTTGTGGCGGAGTCGGAATGTTTGCGGAGGAGCTGCTTGGTTGCGCTAACAGTTCATGTGAGAGGATTGGGAAGAAACTGGAGCCTGAAGCAACTGCCGGTGCTCTGCGAGGCGGCTCTGGTGCAGTTTCGTTAGATGAGACATGGCTGGGGTGGGCCTGGTTGGGATGATTGAATGTGTACTGCTGGTTTTCGATGTCTACTATGAAGCTGGTGGGTTCTGCTTGCAGCACAGTCGATGGGATTGGAAGGGCGTGCGAGTCCAAGTTGACCCTTTCGAGGACAACTTGCTGTTGGGAGACCTCGACTGCCTGCCGATTGCCGAC